GTTGGCGTCTGCTGCTCGTTCAGGGGCAGTTCTGAGCTCAGCCCGGCCCCCTGCTGCTGCTGCCGCTGCTGCTGCTGCTGCTGCTGCCCCTGCTGCTGCTGCGCCGGAGCGGCAAGACGCAGTCGACGCCCGGATCGCTGGAGCCCCTGCTGCAGCAGCTGCTGCCGCCCTTGCTGCTGCTCCTGCTACTGCTGAAATTCCAAGCTGCTGCTGCTGCAGCTGAGGCAACCCCTAAGACAAAAAGAATGCAGCAGTGGGGAGCTGTAAACCTGCTGTTCGGCTGCTGCGGGAGGTCAACGCAGCTCAAGCGCAGCAGCAGCAGCAGCACGAGCTGCTGCTGCTGCTGCTGCGCCGGGGGCGAGACAGCCAGCCGAGACTTCGGCGGAGGATAGCGCGCATGTGTATCTCTTTGCTGCTGAGGGGTTGGAGCAGCAGCAGCAGCAGCAGCAGCACAGTGTGTCGACGCTTTGGGTTGCGGTGGGTTCAGCTGCAGCAGCAGCAGCAGCAGCAGCAGCTGGAAATAGCTACGGGAGATTTTCTGCAAAAGCCACGACGAGAAAACTGTTAAAGAAGGGAGAGAAGAAAAGGAAACCTATAAACTTGCTGCTGCTGCTCCTGCTGCAGCTGTCGCCGGCGCTGCTGCTGCTGGCGGTGCTGCTGCTGCTGCTGCTGCTGCTGTCGAGCAGCGCCGCCTACCTGCAGCAGCAGCAGCAGCAACTACCCTGTTGATGCAGCCAAAAATTTCCTGCTGCTTCCTCTTTTCAGGAGAACTCCTTTTGCTGCTGCTGCTGCTGCTGCAGAAGACTCGCCGCAGCAGCACAAACAGCCCTGCGGTGTCTCGGCAGCTGCTGCGGCCGACCTAGGCGTATACATCAAAAGCTGTTTATTAGATTTAGGGTTAAAAACCCTAAACCCTAAATCAGCGAATAAAGAAACACTGCAATTGCTACTGTCTTTGCGCCTCCCCTAAGGTCTCTTCTCCGCTGCTGCTCTGTGTAAGCAGCAGCTGCGCGTGCCAACGCTGCTGCTGCTGCTGCTGCTTCTACTGCTGCTGCCGCTGCCATTATTGTTAGTCTCGTAGTTGCTGCTTTGTGTATTGCTGCTGCCGATTATATGGTTTCGCTGCTGCGGCTGCCGCTGCCACTATTGTTGGTGCTATCCCTCCTGCTGCTGCTGTTGTCGCTGCTGCTATTCGCACTGTCGTTTCTGCTGGTGCTATTGCTGCAGCTGTTAGTGCTGCTGCTGCAGCAGAAGCTGCTGCTCCTGCAGCCACCATCTCCTTGTGAGATAGTGGTGCAGCGCTTCATATTTTGCTGCTGCTGCAGCTGCTGTTGCTGCTGCCGCTACGGTGTCTGCCGCTGCGACCACTACTGTTGCTCGTATTGCTGTTGCTGCTGCTGCTGCTGCAACTACGGCTGCTGCTTCGGTTCCTACTGCTGCTGCTACTGCTGCTGCTGCGGTTCCTACTGCTGCTGCTGCTGCTGCTGCGGTTCCCAGTGCTGCAGGGTCTCGTAAGAGTAGAAGCCCCGGGCATCTAATTTCCTTTTATTTATTTATATTTATTTATTTATTTATATTTATTTATTTATATTTATTTATTTATTTATATTTATTTATTTATTAAAATTTATTTGTTATAAAGAAAGAGGAGGCCTGTAAATAAATCTGCTGCCGTTCAGCGGCGGCGCAGACACCCAAAAGCCCAAACTCAAGTTCGCTGGCTGCGCGCCCCGCAGGAATATGAAGCCGCTGCTGCTGCTGCTGCTGTTGCTGCTGCTGCTGTTGCTGCTGCTGCTGTTGCTGCTGCTGCTGGTGCTGCTGCCGTTGCTGGGAGTGGAAGTGCTGCTGTTGTCGCTGGCGTTTGCTGCTGCTTCCTTTGGGGCTTCTGCTGCAGTAGCGCCGGCCGTGCTGCTGTTGCTGCTGCTGGCTTCAGCAGCAGCAGCAGCAGTAGCAGCAGCATCAGCAGCAGCATCAACAGCATCTCCCCTTAGCTTCAGCAGGCGGGGAGAAGGAAGAGATACGAGGTCCCCTAAGACCCGCGCCTTGAAAGGCCGGTACTACAGACACACACTCAAACCCTAAATCCTAAACCCTAAACCCTAAACCCTAA